TGCCCTTGCTGGATGGATTGATATAAATATAGTGGACATGCACAGATGAAAACCTATAGTAAATATATGAAATAAACTTAGTGTTAGGTTTGTGGCCGCCAGCACTTAGTATCAATGTCAAAAGCAGGATAATAGCCAGAAAGTGCATTGGTACTTACATTACTGCACAGAGTGGCCCTAACATCTCCTGCACAAAAACAATCACAATAATTTATTGTATAATAGGGCCTTGAAGACCATTTGTTTTCTGTTACTTACTACAGTTCAAAGGTACAGATTGTAAGCATCTATGCCAGAAATATATAAAATGTTTTTATTGTTTTTTCTATAAGCAATTTTGTATCAATAAAAATATTTTTTATGTGTTTATGTTGTCATGGCTGCATTAAAGTAACATGGGAGTCAATTTTCTGGTTGGACCTTTTGTAAAGTCCAGGTTATCTCTAGTAACACAGGCAAACAGCTGGAGGGATCCAAAGCCTGAGGACCAAGTGTGATTCCTCAGGAATTGCAGTACTCTGCTAAAAATTGAGGATAACATTATCTTGGTCTTCTGGAGCAGCTTTGTCCTCTTAGGCTCTGACTCAGCTGTCGGGTTCATACAGTGGAGGGCCTCTCATCTGGCTTCAGATCATTTGCCTGCCTACCTCTGCCTCATTAGATGTAGCCTCTCTCAACTGAGAGAGGGAAGAAGAGGAACCTAGAAATATCCAGGGACCTGTGCTAAAAGGAGTTAAAGAGACCTGGCCCTGCATGGAAAGCTTTGTGAGTAAATAGGCACTCCATTACAAATGAAATCAAATATATAATTCATTTTTTGAGGAAGGAAAAGTTGATTGAATTAAAGGAGAAGTATGGCTAAAGCTTTTCTGTCCATACTTCCCCTGCAGGTCACAGGAGTGCACTTAGTTCTTCAGCTGAAATTGCAGAGCTGATCCAGGCTCTGTAAGGACCCAATAATAATGTTGGGATCTGCCGACATGCCTAACCGGTAGTAGGCTCAGCCTCTCAGCATGCCGCAGAGAGACTGAGCCAGCCGTTCCCGTCCCTCCCACCGTCTGGCGTTCCAGTGACCGCTGGAGGGGTAGCGCACAGATCGTTGACTGACAGTCACTGCTCTGTGCTTAGAGTGAACCCAAGAACTGAGCGATCAGTTGACTTTGATCACTCAGTTTTTGGTGTAGAGGCAGCGGGGGACAGATGCAGCATCAAATCGGTACATTACATTTACATTTGTCTAGAGTTCAGTTTTAAATGAAATCATTCCAGAAAGTCCACTACTCTTATTTACCTCCATTGATACCCAACTAGTCCTCTTCATGAAACAGACTATGAGTACCCTCCATGCAATAAAATTCTTCACTCTTCAGAGCAAAGCCAGTACATTAACCAGCTATGCTGCATGGTGTGCTGTAGGATCATAAGTCAGACATGTGCAGTAAGTTGCAAGGTAGTATACAGTCTAGAATACCCCACAAACATTAAAACTTTATTATCTCCATGACAAAAAGACAGCTTACCATGCTAGTTCCCTCATTGTTGGTAAAAGAAGCTTGTCATATGGGAATTTTAGTCTTTGGTCAGTGGATCTCACCACCAAGGAAATACTGTGAATTGCTTTTCAAAAGGGCAACATAAAAATGGCCACATTTTAGTATAAATATTCATATAGTATGTAGACTGAGGTACAGCATACCTTTACATGGAGATACAAGAACCTTCATCCCAAATGGGCTGGTAAGCAAAAGACTCTGGGATTTTTCAGGCAAAAAAATCCTGCATTAGTACTCCATAACTGCATTAAAAACATTTATTCTTGACTGAACCAGAACACTGGTTGACCATGTTAACAACATACAGAACAAAGGTAAAAAAACAAACACATCAAAGTTGCAAGAAATATATGAACAAAAACTTTTTCCGGGCTTGACCACAGCTTCCCTCTACATCAGATGCATACATCTACCTAAGGATAGGCCATAATTTAAGCCCCTATAATATATATCATATGCAGGTGCCACAGAAAATTACAGCAAGGTAGATCTCAGTCCATAGAGCTGTGACGGAGTTCGAAATGTCTTGATGCATTTTGCAAAGATGCTTCTTCAGGGTAAAGGCTTTCTGAAGACGATAAGGATACCTAGATAGAACTGCAGTCACAGACAGGATAATACTTTCCTGATGCAATGGAGTGCCCCACAATATCTAAATGGCAAGAAGACTCCATTGGTCATGAAGATACAGCGCAGCCTAGTCACCACAATGAGATCTACAGTACCTTGTCGTAATCTTCTGTTGCACCTGCATGTGATATATATAATAGGAGCCTAAATGATGGCCTATACTTAGGTAGATGTATTCATTCTAAGTAGAGGGAAGCTGTGGTCAAGCCCAAACTTTTTGGGGTTCTGTGAATATGTTCCTCCGACACCTTGATTTTTTTTATTATCTTTGATCTGTAGGTTTTTAACATGACCAACCAGTGTTCTGATTGAGTCAAGAACAATAAACTTTGGTTTTTATGCAATTATGGAGTACTGATGATTAATTTTCTGACATATTATTTACCTGAAAAATACCAGATTCTTTTGTTTACAGCCCCATTTGGGACAGAGGTTCTTGTATCATAGAAAAACGAGATGTGGTGAGCAATAGCTCCAAGGTCACCCTAGGCAATTTAGTTTGCTTTACATGGAGATAGAAAACCAAGAAGGGGGCGCCCATAAAGAAGCACATGCATATATATATATATATATATATATATATAGTATATACAATCCAAAAGAGAGCACGGCACTCAGGGGTCTTGAAAGGTGAACACACGGTGAAGATTTTATTTCGATATTTCGAAGAGAGGCACAAGCTCATCTTCCTCAGGACACTAATCTCACCTCTTAAGACCCGTGAGTGCCGCTCTCTCTTTTAGATTATATGTACTACAGATTCTGTTGCGCACACAGGCCTATTTTTTATCTCTGATAAGTGTGCAGTGGCAACCACTGGATTATATATATTGTATATTCAGTATATATATATATATATATATATATATATATTTATTTTTTTTTTTTTTTAATTTATTTATTTATTTTCATTATTTATTTATTTTTTAGTAAAGTCAGGGATTCATGACAATTATGCAGTTTGCTCAATTGATAAATTACTCAGATGACATAAATACTTATTTTTTCCCAGAAAATTAGCTTTTTTAGAAAATGAGTTTTGATTGACTTTTATGTGCATATGTATACTCAGTAACAGAATAAAAAACTGTTAGAGCCAATTCACACCAATGCTTTAATCTGCGCTTTAGCGCAGCTGTAAAACACAGATCAATGAAAGGACATCTGAAAAAAAATAATTTCCAATGTATCCTATTCATGTCATAACATTGTGTTGACCTACGTTGTGCTAAAATGTAACATGTATGCATTTTAGCACAACACAAAGGCTGTAAGCGGATGCCAACACAATGCATGGGATAATGCAGTATGCTTTAACACATGCTAAAATGCATGTCAACGGTCGTAAAAAATGTATGTCAACGATGCCAGTGCGGATAACACAAACGTGTGTAATAGGGTTGATATCCCTGGAGGTATCTGGAACATGGAACATTGATTTGGCATTGCTGGAAGATTGGTCAAAGAAGTAGATATTGCAGTTCAATGTTTTTAAATGTAAAATAATGCACCTAAGGAAAAATAAACCCTTGAGAGAGTACAACATTGGAGGTACATTGTTGACCAGCACTACAGAGGAAAAGGATTTGGGGGCACTTATTTCACATGATTGCAAAATGAGCAAACAGTGTGGCCAGGCAGTGAGGAAAGCGAATAGAATTCTAGGATGCATCACCAGAGGGGTCACCAGCAGGAGGAAGGAGGTCCTGATTCCTCTATATAGATCTTTATATCACTAGAGGGGTCACCAGAAGGAGGAAGGAGGTCCTGATTCCTCTATATAGATCTTTATATCACCAGAGGGGTCACCAGCAGGAGGAAGGAGGACCTGATTCCACTATATAGATCTTTATATCACCAGAGTGGTCACCAGCAGGAGGAAGGAGGACCTGATTCCACTATATAGATCTTTATATCACTAGAGGGGTCACCAGCAGGAGGAAGGAGGTCCTGATTCCTCTATATAGATCGTTATATCACTAGAGGGGTCACCAGCAGGAGGAAGGAGGTCCTGATTCTACTATATAGATCTTTATATCACTAGAGGGGTCACCAGCAGGAGAAAGGAGGTCCTGATTCCTTTATATAGATCGTTATATCACTAGAGGGGTCACCAGCAGGAGGAAGGAGGTCCTGATTCTACTATATAGATCGTTATATCACTAGAGGGGTCACCAGCAGGAGGAAGGAGGACCTGATTCCTCTATATAGATCTTTATATCACCAGAGGGATCACCAGCAGGAGGAAGGAGGACCTGATTCCTCTATATAGATCTTTATACCAGAGGGATCACCAGAGGAGGAAGGAGGACCTGATTCCTCTATATAGATCTTTATATCACCAGAGGGATCACCAGAAGGAGGAAGGAGGACCTGATTCCTTTGTATAGATCTTTATATCATTAGAGGTGTCACCAGCAGGAGCAAGGAGGTCCTGATTCCTTTATATAGATCTTTAGTTAGACCTCATTTACTGTGTCCAATGCTGGAGACCTCACTTACAAAAAGATATTGATAAGATAGAACGAGTCCAGAGACAGGTAACAAAAATAGTGAAAGGTCTGGGGGATCAAACATATCAGGAGAGACTTCAGGAACTTAGTATGTACAGTCTGGAGGAAAGAAGGGAAAGGGGAGACATGACTGAAACCCTTAAATACATCAAAGGGGTGAATATGGTTCAGAAGGGCAGGACTTTTAACACGAAACCAAAATCAGGAACACAGGGACATGACCCTAAACTAACTGGAGGAAAGTCCAAAACTAATTTCAGAAAGTATTATTTTACTGAAAGAGTAGTTGATGCTTGGAATAAACTTCCAGCAGAAGTAGTGAGCCAGTCAACTGTAAATAGCTCCAAACATGCTTGGGACCAGGGGCGGACTGACAACTCATGGGGCCCCCGAGCAATAGAGGATCATGGGGCCCCTGTGTCCTTGCCCAAACTCAAAAAAGCCTATGAAAAAGGTACCAGGGGCATCTCATGGGGCCCCCTACTGATCCCGGGCCGTCGGGCAGTGCCCGAGTTTCCAAATGGTCAGTCTGCCCCTGCTTGGGACAAACATAGATCTAAACTCAGACAAAAAGTTAACATTCCCCTCCCAAAATAACAAACAAACAAAAAACCACACCAAAAAAGAAAAACAAAACAGGCAGACTCGTGGACCACTCTGTCTTTTTCTGCTGTCAATTTTTCTATGTTTTTATTTAAATGTGCATTCATTTTCTATACATTTTAGTGCAAGTCAATGTGAATTGGCTCTTATTCATATATGGATTGAAAATACTCTATATAAATAAAAGCTGTAAGTAAATATAAGGGACATTAGATAAGGCTTTTCATACTTGAGCGTTATATCATCAATCATATTTATAAATGTCTGATGTTATTTATATTCACGCACTATTTACAGTACGCTCATAGCCATCCATATAATATATACATATATCGCATAGGGATCTATAAATGGGGTGATTACATTTGTCAAGCCAGTGTTCCGCTTTGTGTACATTAAAGCAGAGATCATACCTCCACTGAGTTCTATTAGAAAGCACAAGCTGGTTACTGTCTACAAATCATCCCCAAGCTGAAGTTTTTTGGTGGCAGCAGCGAGATGCGAAGGGGAGAAAAAAAAAAAATAGAAAAATTTCAATTTCAGGAGCATTATTATTTTCATTAATCATTGAAGGCACTGTCACCTCTGTCCTTACACTTTAGAGGGAGATCTATTAGACGGTCCATTTAGTCTGAGCCATATTACCTCATATGTTTTCCTGGCTGACCAAATAAGACTTAAGAGATAAAACAATTTACTGTTCATTATGATCCGTGTCAGTGGAATCAATCTATTAACCTATGTTAACTGGATATGTGCCGATGCCCCTCACACGTGCTCTTTGGATTAAAAAAAAAAAAAATTAAATAAATAACGGGAGGGGGAACAGAGGAAGCAAAGGAAAAGCGGTGCACATAAAACGCAGCAGATGTATAATTTGCCAGCTGAATACAACTTCATTTTCTAGCAGTAACGGCTGCTCCCTCCACATCTTCATGCAGCCCCTGACCTGTGAAGAATTCTAACAAATTGGCTTCTATTGTGAAGCCAAAAGGTGTCATCAATGAAGGGACGGTTCGCTGGTCCTAAAGTATGATGGGAAAGCATTTGTGTGTGCTGGAATAAAGAGCCTCAGCTTTATGAAGTTAACCCTTTTCATGTCCAGGATAGTCGAAGACGGTTGTTGTAAAAGGACGCCCCATTACAATTTGAGGAGCTAAAATGAAGGTTTCCAACCTTTGTTTCATTGTAAATGACAAACCAGATACATTTAGTTTCATGCTACATCATTATCTTGCTTTCAACCTGGCAAACCTTATTCAGAAAGCCAAAAATAACGTGCAAAGGACAGTGACCAATCAAAGGTAGCTGAAAGCGATTGTTGAAGAAGGGCGTCCCTACACCATTTTAAAAGCCAAAAAATAAGGTTTCCAACCTTTATTTCATTGCAGCCTTTAGATTGGATACATTTAACTTTATGCGTCATCATTCTGCTGATTTATCCTGGCAATTTAGCCTTATTGACCAACCCAAAAATAACATGCAAAGGACAAGGACCAATCAAAGGTAGTTGAAGGTGGCTGTTGAAGAAGTTGTTGTCCAGGATAGTCGAAGACGGTTGTTGTAAAAGGACGCCCCATCACAATTTTAGGAGCTAAAATGAAGGTTCCAACCTTTGTTTCATTGTAAATGACAAACCAGATACATTTAGTTTCATGCTACATCATTATCTTGCTTTCAACCTGGCAAGCCTTATTCAGAAAGCCAAAAATAACGTGCAAAGGACAGTGACCAATCAAAGGTAGCTGAAAGCAATTGTTGAAGAAGGGTGTCCCTACACCATTTTAGAAGCCAAAAAAAAAAATAAGGTTTCCAACCTTTATTTCATTGCAGCCTTTGGATTGGATACATTTAACTTTATGAGTCATCATTCTGCTGATTTTACCCTGGCAATTTAGCCTTATTGACCAACCCAAAAAAATTGTGCGAAGGGCAAGGACCAATCAAAGGTAGTTGAAGGTGGCTGTTGAAGAAGTATACTCCAACACAATTTTAGAAGCTTACAAAAGAAGGTTTTCCAACATTTGCTTTGTTGCAACCTATAAAGCAAATATATTTAGTTTCATGCTACTTCATTCTGGTGCTTTTTCACATTGGCAATCCAGCCTTATTCACTAAGCAAAAATAACATGCATAGGGGCAGTGGCTAACCAAAGGTAGTCTTTCTGAGATCTGAGTTGAGCAAGTAGAATTCTGACTGGTTGCCATAGATTATTGAAGTTTAATATTTCTTACAATCCTTTATAGAATACGCCTGAGCATTCTTAGATGACCACATATTTTTTTAAAACTCTTTAAAATAATGCAACGGGCATTGACCAATAAAAGGTAGTTGAAGGTGGTTGTTGAAGGGAGATGCCCCAATACATTTTTAAAAGCCAATAAAGAAGGTTTCCAACCTTTGTTTCATTGCAATTGACAAAGCACATACATTTAGTTTCACACTACATCATTCTGTTGCTTTCACAGTGGCAATTCAGCCTTATTTACTAAGCCAAAAAAAAAACATGCAAAGGGCAGTGACCAGTCAAAGGTAGTCTTTATGAGATCAGAGTTACGTAAGTAGAATTATGATTGGTTGCCATAGACTATTGAACTTTACTATTTCTTTACAATTCTTTATAGAATAAGCCTGATCATTCTTAGATGGCCAAACCATTTTGATAAATGCAAAGGGCAGTGACCAATTAAAGGTAGTTGAAGGCGGTTGTTGAAGAAGGACACCTCAAAGCATTTTTAGAAGCCAAAAAAGGAGGGTTCCAACCTTTGTCTCATTGTAACCTACAAAGTAGATAGATTTAGTTTCATTCTACATCCTGCAGCTGCTTTCACCCTGGAAACTCAACCTTATTGACAAAGCCAAAAATAAAATGCAAATAGCAGTGACCAATCAAAGGTAGTCTTTCTGAGATCTGAGTTGAGTAAGTAGAATTCTGATTGTTTGCCATAGACTATGGAGCTTTAGTATTTCTTTACAATCCTTTATAGAATAAGCCCCATCATTCTTAGATTGCTACATAATTTTTGAAAGCTTTAAATAAATGCAAAGGGCATTGTCCAATCAAAGGTAGTGTTTCTGAGATCTGAGTTGAGCAAGTATAAGTCCGATTTTTTGCCATAGACTACTGAACTTTAATATTTCTTTACAATCCTTTATAGAATAAGGCTGATCATTCTTAGATGGCCATATGTCTTTTTGAAAGCTATAATTTAAAAAAAATTTCAAACAATAAAAAAGAAAAATTCCCAGCTCAACTTACCAACCAGCCTGCAACCAACCAAATTGTCCTGTCTAACAGTTAAAAACAGGGGTTTAGTTTGCACACATGTGCAAATACATGTGTAAGCTGCAGAGCCTCTTCATGGCACCGCAGTATTTTCTGCAGTCCTAGCTCTTTACATTTTGAGAGCCTCCAGTAGAAGCACATATATAATAATGGATTGTAAGCTCCAAGGATCAGGGCCTTCCAATCCCTCTTGTATTGAACTGTATTGTTACTGTACTGTCTCCCTCCATAATGTAAAGCGCTGAGCAAACTGTCGGCGCTATATAAGTCCTGTATAAAAATAATAATGGATAGACTGAGGGCAGGTAAGCCTGGTGGGAGCCCACCCCTACTTAAAGGAACAGGGGCGCACTGGACACCCAGCATAAAGCACAATGGCAGTTAAGGTGTCCAGTGCACTCCTCACCAGTATATCAACAGTACAAAATCTAAATACATACATTGGAAGGGAGAGCTGAGTAGGGTAAGACTTGAAATTTGTGATATTGCCCACAGAAGTTCATTTTTCTTGTCTGGCCATTTTATTTTTATCATTTGATTATCTGTAACTGTCAGCTGCAGCCAAGACTGTGAACCATTATTCCGATAATGGGCAGCTCTTAAATTTTGAGTTAAAACAATTGCCAAAACGTCTGTTCACGTATGGCTTTATTGTACATCCTAATAAAAGTTTATAACTAAAACACTGAAATGAAAACATTGACCACAAAAATATAAATTATTTAAAAAAATGTTGCTATCTTGTTTATTGTCATAATCTGTATAATGTGGTTATTCTGTTGGGCAAATGTAGATGTTGAAGAGTATTAATAACTATTATTTTGAACTTTATTGTAGAAATATTTTTTTTTGGAAAGCCAAAAAAACATGGTCTTTTGGTTTTCAGATTTTCTGTGGTGCCTCTTCCGGGAGCAGAGATCAGTGATCCATCCTGTCTTATTGTCAACCCTTGTCATGATGTCATCACCTTGCTGCTGAAGAATTCAAGACCCTTTGAAGATCCTGCCAACAGATCCATTGGGAAGTGTCCATGTCACCATGCAGAGACATGGGCACCCAAAGAAGGAACCTTTCAATATGCAGTCCAAAAGAGAAAAAACTCGGTATATGTAGGATATCTTTGAGTCCATTTACTTTGTTCTTTTTTTTGCTTCTAACTGGGACAATTAGCTAGAAGGGATAGAAGTGTTCTAAAATTAGTGGGGGGGGGGGGGGGGGGGGGGGGGGGGGGGGGGGGGGGGGGGGGGGGGTGGGGGGGAGTCCCTAGCCATAGTTCAGATTTAAATCATCCCAATAATGAAGGTTTAAATGTGTGAGGTAGTGGCTGAAGTGACTGGACAATTTAATGTATATAATATATAACGTAATGAAAATATCCCTCATCTGGAAATCAGAGCAACTTTATTACACAGAGACTGCCGCAGTACCCTCCCCCTAGCCTTAGCCAATATTTTCTCAATAAGTTCACTAAACCTGATACCTTGCTCATGTGTAGGGATTCTAATGCTGATATAGAGAAATATGACAGCTTCTGTGTGCAGCAGCTTGGTGTTCATGGACTGCCATTATACTCTCTGGAAATTCCCTTTAATCACCTTAGGGAATGGTCCCACTGCGTAATCTATTATTTTCCTTCAGCATGTAATAGCTGTCAT